TATTTTTAATGTAGTTTTTAAACTTAGGAAATGATAATCTTAATACATGCTCCAGAATCTTATTGTAAAAACGTATACAGTTCCCCGTAAAAGAGTCGTTTACCGTGATTAAACGAAATCGTGATACCATAAGTTTGACTTAGCTCTAAGGCAGTGGCTGATTCTGAGACAAATGTGAACTTTCAATTGTCTGCTCAGCCTGTTATCCTTTAGAGCTATGTTATCTACATAACTATGGACTGTATCTGTCTAAAATAAATGAATTTTCATTTTTGATTTGATTTGATGACCATGTCAGATGATGATATCAGATGAATCACTTTGTTTTAAACTTAGTCTCTTAGAGAAACTGCGAGCATAGCTTTTGCAGTTTGTAGCCTAGCCCTACTGTCGTTAAATGACCAGTTAAAGTTTACACATTACCTTTGGAAACATAGCTTTGATAAATTAATTGACATTTACAAACTAAAATCGAAAAAGTATTCGACCTGCTCCAGGATGTGTTTTTAATTTGTAGGCATTGACTTTATGCTTGCAGGTGTCATAATAATGAAAGGGGCACAGACCTTATTTAGTATTAAATCAAACCTTGCACATACACACAATACTTAGTACATATTTTGAGCACTAGCAAGGTACCTAAATTACCAATGTTTTTTACAACTCTCTCATTAATAAAAAATAACTAAAGCATATTTTTTAAGAAACTACACTAATTTCTTAAAAAATAAAGTACATTAGCTTTTCAAGCTTTTCCCGAAATATTTCTCTAAACCATCGAATGTATAGTAAGAGTTCACTTACACCACTTTTACAAAGCAAAGCATTCCATCTGTACAAGAAATGAGATAAGCATTTTCTCCACACTAGAAATAAACAACCACATCCACAAGAAACATGTTTTATTTTAAATTTAGAAAATGAAAGTATTAATGGAAGACTTAATAAGAAATTCATTTCTTGACCACAATTAATGGTTAGTCATGTTAAGTACAAAAAGCTTTTGTTGTTGATATACAACTGTGCTTTTAGGTGTCATTTTTATCTACATATAAATACATTTATGTCAACCTTTGTGTGAAAGCATATCAGACTTTGTTATTATACTGACTGCCCAAAATATGTAATTGTTGAGCATATAAAACAGAAGATTTAATATATGCATTACAGCCAATACAATGCCCACTTTTTTAAAGGGCGCGATATATTTTTTTACGATATATAATATTTCTATATGATTAATATAATTTTCTCCCTGAACTCAAGTAACATATATGAAAAACATAAATATAAAATGAAAATTAAGTTTCATGCCAAGCATAAATAAAGGAGTTTCTACATTTCTATTTGGACACTGTCTATGTGCATATTAAATACTGATGTATATTATAAATATACAATTATGACAGACAGACATACATGTTGTGGGCGTTGTTGGGTTGGCTGTTGCATCATAGATGCATCAATGATTTGCTGAGCCTGTTGCAACACAACCTGAGCATGAGCATCCACAGGCAAATCAGATGTGTAGTAAACCTACAAATAAATTGTCCATTATGTAGGTTACCCAATACCTAAGAATTGATTGGTAATTACATCATGTTGACTATGAAATAATTATTACAGATTTAAAAACACAGTATGAGGCTTCCATTTACTTTGGAAATGAGAAATAATGTCTGAGAAATGTGTATATACCATGTATATACTCCAATAACGAGTATACTTCAATTTAGAGTAGACGTACTTGGGTAGAGTCGCCAAGTTACGCCATGCCTATCTAGGAAAGTTTACAGTCGGTCCGGTCAGACACTACCAGTAACAGTAAGGGTCATATGAAGCAAATTATATTTAACCAAGAGTGACATGGCTGCTAGACAGCCGTGACGATATCGCCTTTGTAAGACGTGACGTTGCGGGGGGTGTTGTGGCGACTTCGTACTCACTCGCGATAATATGTTACAAAAATATCCCAGTAAAATTAAATCTATTATTTGCCAAATGCCAATGGTCAAATATAGCTTAAGTGATAATAGTTCTTATATTAGTACCAAAATTGTAAAAGTGTCTGGCCGGCTCAATTGGGATGTACATGTTATTATCCCAGTGCAACTGACCTGTTGTCTATGGAGCGCTTGCTGTTGCTGCTGTTGTTGCTGCTGGAAGTCATTGCGTGATGGTGCCGGCTCATGCCGTATGATGTACTGCTGCTGGTAGGGCAGCCCGTCACCCACCACCAGCTGCGCCTGCGGCTGGACCGCATTGCTCACTACTATGTCACTAGGAGGCTCAGCCGGCTGCACCACCACCTTTTAGAAATATGTTTATGTGAAATGGGGATTATTGTATGACAATATTAAAAGAAAGCTGGGTTAAAGAGAAGAAAAACAACATAGTACTGATGGAGATAGAAATTCATTCTTGGTAAATTTGTACTGTGTGCAATAGGCCTGTGTACTAAATGTCCAATAGGGTAAATAAGTTCCAGAATTCACATTACAATTTCAGCAATATTTCAACACTGCACTTTCCCTTGGAAAACTTAACAATGGACTGCTCAGTACTATGTCACTAGGAGGCTCAGCTGGCTGGACCACCATCTTTTAGAAATACATATGTTCATGTGAAATGTGTATGTTGTGTTGTATGACAATATTAAAAGAAGGCTGGGTTAAAGAGAAGAAAAAAATAATAGTATTGATGGAGATAAAGAAGTTCATCTTTGGTAAATTTATACTGTGCACAATAGGCCTGTGTATTACATATCCAATTGGGTAAATAAGTTCTAAAATTCACTCTGAAATTTGAGCAATATTCCAACACTGCACTTTTTCTTGGGAAATTTAACAGTTGAAAGAGACTGGTATGATGATGATGAATACAATATACAAGTTCAGAACACCTTAATCTGAATAAAATATTATTACTACACTATTTATTACGTAACTAAATAGTAAATATCCATTAATAAAATAATTTAATTAGTTTACACTTACACCAATTTATTTTTGGTTCTTTATTTGTATTATTTATTTATTGCCATTATTTTAGCACATGCCAACTTTCATTATGTTATGTATTATACTTCCACACACAGGTTATGTATGTAGGTATTGTTTAGGCTGAAAACCAGCACTATAGCTAGAATTTCCTGCCCCTATATAAACGCTGAGCAAGTCCCGTTTGCGTGCACCGCAACACTCATTTATTTATTATTATGTTTATTGTGATGATGTAGTGTTTCAGATTATCAAAAGTAAATTGCATTTGTATGCAAATTACTTTTCTTTGTCCATTTGTTATAGTTTGAAGTTTAAAATGTTACAATATTGTAGTTTTTAAGCTCATTCATGTCACGTGTATCGGTGAACACTTTACAATTTTGCTTATTCTTAATTAAAAAGCATTTAAAAAAAAAATCCTTTTCCACATTTATTGCTATTATGTCATAGGAGGAATACTTATAATATAATATATAAAACTAATAATTATACAGTACTAATATTTAACATATTATAAAGCAGGGAATTCTCTTATTTAGAACAAGTTCCTAATTAGACTGTAAAGCACATGATTAATGTCTTTTCAGGAATGTGACTGGCAGTTAAAACAAATTCATATGTACCAGATATCAGTTCACTCATCCCAAACTTATATCTATTGGAATTCAATTACTGGTAGAAGTTAAAGCAAAGAGAGGAGAAACAGTGGTACACACAGATCAAGTTAAAGGAACTATGTTGTATGTGTATATGTATGGATGTAAGTTAGTGCTAAAAATATAGAAAATAAACAGAAAAGAAGACAATATTTACTTTTACCTGTTGCTGGGCATACTGCTGATCATCTTGATTAACTAACGCTATGCTATCCAATCTTATATTGGGATAGTATCTTTGCAATTCTTCTAGTGTTAAAGAAGGCCCTTGTCCAACTATTTGGTAATACTGAGCCATTGCAATTATTTAGCCTGAAAATATGAGGTAAATGTAATAAATAGTTACTTAATCACCTAGCAGGAAGCTTATACTATCTTAATTGCTAAGAGATTTCAATCTCAATTGAAAAGAAAAATGTCCATAAATAAAAGATTTGGATTCATTGTGAATTAGAGACATCATCTATATTTGTTATAATGCTACATGTATCTGTCAGTATCAATAACTTCAGGTCATGGTAGAGTATTATGGAGTAGGTGCAAATAAGGCAAAGAGAATATTTCTTCATTATCTTTGCAAATTCATCTATTTAGTTTAAATAATATTGCAGCTAACACTTGCAAAATCTACCAAGTTCAATAGTGACAGAAATTAGTGCATTATCTTACTATTTGTTTACATCATATACAATCAAGGTTCTGATTATTGTAAGTTAACTACTACAATGCATCAGTAATTGATGACAGCCAAAATGCTGTACAAATCTTCAAGATTTCATATCGCTGATATGATGTCAAATTTTATTCACATCTGAATAATATTACGTACAACAACAGCACAGCAAAACGGCTGTGACGATTCCGTGATCGAAGGAACAGTTCCACTATGGCGACGACACAGCAGCCAGTTTTCAGGCGCTACGTTCATTCTTTCTTATGGGTACTACCACTGCATCTACATCACTTTCAACAACGAGAAAAACACTTTTGATACCGTTTACATGAATAAAACGAAATGGCTTCGATTCCTTTGATCCAACCTAAATTCCTTCTAGCAGTGTAAGGCTTTCGAAATAGAGCTAGGCGTACATTTGATTCTTACCAATATTTACTAGGGACATTTTAAATGCCTTTTGTGTACTATAAAATCGAATTTATAACATGAAATTGTAAAATTTTTAACTCAAACGCCAAATCTAGAAGCAATTTACATTATGGCGTGTGTGTCACTTTTTTCATATTATTTTTTTTCGGTAAGGTGTTGCTGTTTTGTGGCCGAAACAAGACCTTTTTACAATGTCTCATGCATGATCGTTTCCAGAATTTATTTAACTTGAAATAAGTACGTTATATTTGGTTGTAAAGTACACAAATCAGACAATAAAATTAGAAGGCAACAAAAATATTTGAGTTTAGAAATTCCAATTTAATGACACCGATCTGAAATAAAAATCGATTTAAAAACAGCTGTGTTATGTGATAAACTGATAAGAGTCAGAGTAGTTTAAATATTTGGAAAGGGGCACAAACCGACATTAACAAGTAATATTATCGGTTTATTAAATTGGTAGAATAATATTAGTATCCTACTTATTTATCTAGTTTTATCTTTTTATGAGTTTTTTTAAGGAGTTAGAAAATGATCTTTAACTTGTTTATTTCACCAATGAGTCAGTACAATTATTAGCACTATGTTTTAACAATGTTGCTATTAAAATAAGATTTGCACAGTTTTTGCTTATATCAAACCAATAATTTTGTTTGTATTGATTTGTGTTGAATTAAAACGTGAAGTATTGAATCATGTTATGGTTTGTTACCTCTTGTAAAGTGGTTTTATAGAAATCATCGGAACATAAAAATAATTATTTTTTCTGAGAGGAAGCTACATACATTGGAATATTTTTCGAGTTTCCGCAATTTTTTAAGACATTAAATGGCAGCATTAAATATGTGTGTTTCTTGTTTCTTTCCGTCCGTGAATTTTTCGTTTTCAGAGATAGAATTTTCGCGTTGTAATTTGTAGCTGTAGCTTTTACCACGTAATTACTTTTACAATCAAACTTAAGTCTCGTGGATGTAATAGAAATTTAAAAAATCTGATACGAATTCCAGCGAAACTTCTGTATTTTATGACATTTTGTTACCGTCCTCATTACTTCGCCCGTGCAAATGGATGATTCTGTGGTTTCTCCAGGTAACTGATAAACCGGTGAGGTTGTTGTTAATAACCGAAATATAGTTCTTACTTATAGTGAGTTATGTTTTAGGAAGTAAGATGGCTGATTCGGCGTCGGAAAGCGACTCGAGCTCCCTGGATGGCGGAGCGATGTTGCCACCGAGCACGGTCTCCCGTGATCAACTCCAGAAAAGAATTGAATCTCTACAACAGCAGAATCGGTACCACTCATGTTATATGATGACTAAAACTGAAATAAATTCCAATGAGATTGTTTTTATTAGATAGGGTATAAGTACATAAAAAGTTTACATCTGTTTGATTGTAGTTTGTTTGCTTTAAGATAATGTTAGCAAATAAGATAAAATGTGTCAATTTTCGTTGCAGTGTGTTGAAAGTGGAGTTAGATACTTATAAACTGCGAGTGAAAGCCTTACAGGAGGAAAACCGGGCTTTGAGGCAGGCTTCAGTCTCCATTGTAAGTTTAAGTGTGTCATCCACAAGTTGCATTCTGACTAGCAATTAGTTATATCTTAAGACATTAGACTTATTTCCATGTGTTCCCAATAACAAAGATTTCACACTCTAATAACTTTAGGAAATAACTGTTTTTTCAGCTCTAAATAGCATATAATTGTTTTTACGAACCAACGTTTCGGGCCCTTTCTAGGTCCCAAGGTCACAGCTGACTAACCATGGGACCTGTAAAGGGTCTGAAACATTGGTTTGTTAGAAAAAACAAATATAATACGCGATTTACATCTGAAAAATTTTTTTCATTTCCTATGTATAACAATAATAATTGGTAAAACCTAGTAACTCAATTTCTAATAACTTTGTTATTACATGATTTACACGCGATTCTTGTTTTATTTATAAGAATATCAAAGTTTCCATAAATAAATGCATTTTTAAGATATGTTTTGTTATACATATACATATTGTTTTTAGCAAGCCAAAGCAGAGCAAGAAGAGGAGTATATTTCCAACACACTTCTTAAAAAAATACAAGCCTTAAAGAAAGAAAAGGAGACATTAGCACATCACTATGAGAGGGAAGAAGAATGTCTTACCAATGATCTTTCAAGGAAATTAAACCAAGTGAGTTGATATACTGATGTACTATTGCGAGGTTTTGGATACAAATGAATTCCTATTTCATTGCTTGAACAGAGTCTTGGGGTCGTATTCCAGAACTCTACTCAATACTCAAGTCAGGACTCGAGTATTGCAGTGAGCACTGAAAATCATACTCAAGGCCTTGCCATTAGGGTCGTATTTCTAGTGCTTGAAATCATACTCAAGTCTGCTCAAATCCTGACTTGAGCATTGAGTAGAGTTCTGGAATACGAGCATTAGAGAGTAAGTTCTAGATGATGACCAGTAGTAGTATATCATGGTAATACACAAGGAAACATTGTCATTCTTCCAACTCCCATGTCAGCATGGTGTTTATAGCAAACTGCCTTTTTTGGGCAAAGGAGTCAGGACTAAACTCCAGGTGAGCACTAAAATGCCTATTCCAGTTGCGTCAAGAGAAGTGCCGTCTGGAGCAGACCCTGGAGCAAGAGCAGGAATGCTTGGTCAACAAGCTGATGAGGAAGATTGAGAAACTCGAGGCTGAAACTCTTGCTAAACAAACGAACTTAGAAAGACTGCGCAGAGAAAAGGTAATTTTGATATTTTTATGGTTGTTTGAATTTAACTAAAAACATTTTTCACCTGCTTAAATATATATATATATATATAAACAAACTCCGTCAACCTTTCTGTGAACTAAGTTTTTGTATAAATATTATTGAAGGCAGATTTTCTCTCTGAATTAATACTAAAAATATAAGGTCTGAAATGTCTTGCTTAGTTGAAACTGCACAAAAGACATCCTAGAATATATATAAAATCCTAGTTTCAGGGTAAAATTTGAAATATGAGGTTATATAATTGTAATTAATTTCCAGGTGGAGCTGGAAAACACCTTAGAGCAAGAACAAGAGGCTCTAGTGAACCGACTTTGGAAGAGGATGGATAAGCTGGAGGCTGAGAAGCGTTCACTGCAAATAAGGCTTGACCAGCCTATTTCCGATCCAGCTAGCCCTAGGTGACTAATTCATCTTGTTGGTGACCATGCAGTCACACCTTGACTTTTGATTACAAAGTTTATTTTGTATTATGACATGTAGAAATATCTAAATGTCTAGGAGCAGTGTGACAAAGATTCTAACAAATGCACTACAGGTGCTTTTTTTTAAATTCTTATTTTTAATAAGGCCTGTAACACTTGGGTGTCAATGTTAACCTTATTATGTTATTCCATGTGAATTATTGTACTCTATCTGGGGGTATCGCCTTGTAGGGAGAGGCAAGATCTCACATGAGCACAGAGTTTTAGCCCTCTTTCATATTGTGTATAGTGATTCCCTGGTGGTTTGTCCACTATTATTTAAGGGCATCGAATGACTGTTGAAATAAAATTGCTATTATATTGACTATCATGTATCACTCAATAAAGTTGTATAAATATTTTTGAATTCCTATAACACTAATATTTTATTTTTGCTAGGGACATCAGTAATGGTGATACGGCATCTAATCTAAGCAATCACATTCAAACTTTACGCTCAGAGGTTGTAAAACTAAGGTAATTTTTTATTTTATTATTTTTAGTTTATTTCCATGACAATAAAGAACATTTGTAATGAATTTTTGATATTGTTTGGTGTGTTTTTGTTTCTAGAAACCAATTGGCATTGTCTCAAAATGAAAATAAAGAGAAGATGCAACGTTTTGCCTTGGAGGAAAAACATATTCGTGAAGAGAATCTGCGTTTACAACGAAAACTACAGCAAGAGGTATTCCAGCCCTTAATTTTGTATTTAGTATAAAGTTTATTTTTCATTTTTGTCACTTAACTCCTTAACTCCCTCCTATATTGCATAGTAGGATACATATATACAGTAGGAAAAGTAATAAAAATTAACATAATGTAAGGTGGAGCGTCGTGAAGCATTATGTCGACATCTCTCCGAGAGCGAGTCTTCGTTGGAAATGGAGGAAGAGAGGCAGTTCAATGAAGCTTTAAGTGTAAGTTTAATCTGTCATTAATCCCTCCCAACCATATTGCTTTAAAGTTAAATTCTCTGTTACAACGTTGCAAAGATTATTATTCACTTTTAGTTTACGACGTTGAGATTTATTCTGTAGGGTTAGCACGATAAGGCGCGACTTGAGCGAGAGCGACGTAAAGCACGAGATACTGCTATTCTCGCATAGAAATCACGCGCTCTATGTCGCTCTCTTGTGCTAGCTCTACTGCTAACCCAGGTTTTTCCCAAATTTTTTTCAGCCAGAATTAGACACTTACCATTACCTATTTTTGCCATTTAATAAAAAAAGCGTTTTTGCATTTTTAAAATATATATAACATATGTACAGGCTTATTTACAGGCCCATTTACGTAACAGTTATGCTGCGCTGCACACGGAATATATATAATATTTCAACAAGATTTTTTAGACAATAACAAGTTGATTGAAAAAAGTGCCTACCAAATTAGTCAACAATAAAAAAAACTATTTCATTGATAATTGAAATGTCAACAAGCCATTTGGCACTTCGAGTATTGCCAGAGAAATCTATTTGAAATTGTCCTGTGTGCAGTGCAATATAACTGTTACGTAAACAGTTATTCGTACCTATTGAAGCCTGTTTTCACTCGGTCTGAGTATTACAAAGATTCCTTTACGATTAAGGCTGCACAATTGTGGAACAATTTCCCATATGAAATCCAACATTCTAAGTCGCTCCCTATTTTCAAAACCGGATTGCGTAAATATCTTCTAACACGGTCCTAGTCTGCAACGTGTATTCACTAGTAAGTATAAGTTTATTTAGGTGTATTTGTATATATACACATATATTTGTGTAGGTATAATATATCGTATTTATGAAATATTTGATAAGTCGCAGCCCTCCGGAAGAATGGCATAAGTGGAGTTACGTCAATAACGGTTATTGCTCGTTCCGATTCTTGTAACTCTAACGACGACTAATATTGTAGATAAAGATAGAAGAATTCGAGAGGGTGTAGATTATATTTTTCTGTATCTAACGGAGCAATAAACATTTTTGACGTACCTCCACTTATGCCATTCTTCCATGAGGGGTGCGAAATTACTGTTTTTTTTTAAATTATAATGAATTTTTATTTTTATTTGTAAAATTGGCACACTACGTCTCCCGCTCCGATTAGCTTTCCTCTGCCTCAAAGGTTGTCTGGAAGAGATCGCTCTTAGCGATAAGACCGCTTTTTCCCATATTAGTTTTAAGTTGTTTATGTACTGTTCTTGTTCTTGTATGTGAGCAGTAAAGTGTTTATCCATATATCTATCTATCTATTTATCCTCCCGCAACGCGCAGCTACCTTAGGAAGCGACTCGGTTAAGCGGTAGGCTACAAATGTAATAATTTTTATTACTGAAGTTGACATTAGATCTTGCAAAACAAATGTAAAAGACCTTGACATCGTGTCTTATTATTTAATAATTTGTGATATCATGTGGTAAAACCAGATTCGTAGGGCGTCACATGTATACCATCAACTAATATTCCATCTTAAATTTGTAATGTGATATGCAATAAACAATTGAAATTGAAATATTTATTGTTATCGCACACGTTCGCATGCAGGCGCGATCGCGCAGCGTGTCGTCCCCGGGCGGGTCGCGGCCGCTGTCTCCGTATGGCCCACCGCTGCTGCCCGGCACCGGCATGCCCATGTCGCGCCCAGCACTGCATTTTAACTCACAGGTTTGGGCGAATGTCGTGTTAATTGTGTTAACTAACTCAAATTGATGTAACATTTGAATGGTGACCTAGAGTCTAGAATAAACTCGCCAACCTATAATAACTGTATGGTCTCATACATTCTTCGGTACAACTCTGCGCACTTAAATACGTGATGCACACTTTATTTTACGTAGTGTGTTACCAACTGTCCACCGATACACTGCATCAAGGAAAGGTTTGCCACCGTAATATCTGTATTTTACGTATACCAATATACGTTTACCATTTCTTTGCAAGTCGTTACCATTTCTTTGCGTACTACCACACAATTCATATAAGGAGTAAGGTGGCACATACAATAACAATAGTCTAAGTAAATGATACTGTAATTATATCATATTTCGTTTTATTTGTTACCTCATTGGTCTACTGAAAGTGCAAATTTCACCTACTCGTAACATTGTATGTATATTTTGTTGTAGCCGCGACGACCAAATGAGCGGTTCGTGAAACCCGCTGTGCCTGGCGGCGCAGGCCTTGCGGCACGATCGGCGCCGCTGGAGCCGCCACTGCCACCACTGCTCTCTGCACTCACCCCAGCTGCGAACCCAGCGCCCCCTGTGGCCCCACCTCTGCTGCAGCCCATAGTGCAGCCCGCCAGTCCCATGGACACCTCTTCCAAGGATTAAACCGCCTCTTCCATCGCTCGGTGCGTCTTCGGCAAGTGTCCTCCGATGTCGATTCCTCTCGTGGCCTTTTCCGATCGTAGTCTTTGCATTTTATCCGACGTATTCTATTTAGGGGACAGCCGCCAAAGTCGCGCCATTCGACGCGAACGCTTGTAGGACGCGTCGTAGGAGCACCACGATCTGATTGTTGGCGTAGCTTGCCGGAAACTTGAGCCAAGGTGTGTCGTGAGTTGTATTGTTGGTCAAAATTAAATGTTTGAAGAAAGATTGATAGTGAAAGCGCGAAAAGACTGCTAACCGCCGCTACGTTTACGCAATAAGTAACGGATCATTTAAATTTAAAATCAAGTGTCATATGATGTCGGTATATTACATACATAATTAGTCCTTATTAAACATATTTTTACGTTTTTGTGCAGCTTTTAACAGGCTAGGGTATTCAAATGCAGATATATTTAATTGTTAATGTATCACACATCATTAACATCTTGCGGTAATGTTAATACCATGTAAAATATCATTAGTAACATAGTGATAGGTACTAACACATGATGAGAGCCTAATTACCGAGCAGCGCGTGCTCTTAAGTCGTAGTCCTCGACCCATAGGTATCGTGCACTGCTCACTGCCCTTCCAACTACACGCTTCCTACAATACAGCCTCTCAGTTGACGTTTGAATGATTGCGTTTGGTTTACTGATTAAATTAGTAGTATGGAGGTTGATAAATAAGATTTTTCAATCTTGAAACGTTGATTTAGATATCGGAAGGAGTGTACGAACGTCGATCCGAATTATCGATATTCCTTTCATTTTTTTAAAAGTTACGATTTCCTTTATCGTGGTTTAGATAGTTTTCGTTATTGTAAATCGCTTTGACATCAGGGCTTTGTTCTGTGGCAGTGGGTTTATTATTAGGCTGTGTAAAATTCACCTGTAAATAAGGGTGGTTAGGCGATTGAGGTATAGTATGTAATGTATTTGATTATATCACATTCGGGGCCTAGCGCGCTACTCCCACGTGATGTTTGTAGTTTTTATGGGAGTGTATGACGTGTTAAGGATGTTATTTTGTGCTCTAAGGGCGTTGTTGTGTTCCATAGACCTTCGGGAGTAGCGGCGAACATCCGATTCAATTCAATTATGCAAATTTTCACTTAAACATTTATTTTTTTCAATGTTATGATAAAACAAAAATATATGCATCAATATTATATATCTTTTTATTTCGTAACAGCCCGCCTCAAAATTATCAAAGCATTAAAATGTTTAGATAAACTGAACATTTGATAAAAACTTCCTTATCACAATAAAAGTAAAGTGTGCTCGTGATTGAAACTAAAATTAGTACGAAAACAAATTGAAAGAGCGCTTAAAATAATAGAGTGATATATTTGTATTTTATTAAATATATTGACGTTCAGATTATTTTATCGCTGACTGTACCGAGTACTAAAAAAGTCTCTGATCATCTAGAGTTAGTAAAACTAGACTAGTAAAAAGAAATGCAATGCTACTTTTACGTATTCATATTTAATTTTGCAAATTGTGTTGGGGTTATTTCTATTGAATAGAGTTCTTACTTATCTTTTCAACGATCCACTACTGGTGCAGAGAGTGAAGGCTTTTATAACAACACACATCTGTGTATATATGAACCTTATACCCCTAAATGCATTATAATGCAGGTCGATTTAAGTGACAGAATTAAAATAGCACTTTTTTAAGTGATTTTTTTTTTAAATCCTTTTTTCATTTTTAGGTCTTACCTACAAATAAGTAAAACAATCGATAATTATGAAGTCACACAAATATTTAAGTGAAATCTAACAAAAAACGACATTTTTGGTCACATAAATGACATGTGGTGACACGAATGATTTTGTCATAAATTCAAATATGATAAGACGGCACTGATGAAAGATTATTGTTTACACAAAGTTTCTCACAAATGATTTTCTCATAAATCCAAATGCGATAAGACGGCACTAATGAAAAATTATTGTTTACACAAAGTTTCTCGTTGTACTGTACAACCAAGACAGATGGAGCAATTTAATGGAGACTAGAGAATAGAATAGAGACACTACGAGGAATAGGTAAGTATATATACTGAATCGAGTTCTTAGATATTCACATAGGAAATGAAACTATTTTTCCGGATTTAAATCGCGTATATTTGTTTTTTCAAACAAACACCGACGTTTCGGGCCCTTTACAGGTCCCATAGTACATACATACTGAAGTTTAGTTCGGTTTAATTTGTTATTATATTATTTATTTACTGAGCGTTGGCTACAGAGCCATCAGCTTGAACAAGTAACAAATAATTAGGAAACTCGAAACATAATAACACTTGAAACTAAAAATTAATTTGTGTAAAAATCTTAACTACAAAATCCCGCCATCTGTTATTTATTATAGCTTGAGAGAATAGCCCAGCTAGAGAATGATTGCTTTTCAATCCAGAAGTCAATGATCTAATCTCTGGCGACATGTATCTGGGTCAATTAACTTTTTTACCGGTACTGTGTTTAGCGTCGGTAAAAAAAACTTCAAAATAAAAGAAAAAACCCTAATACAAAACAGTGTAGGTACTCCACAACTCTTCTAGACAAATTGATGAGCTAAAATAGTTATATTGTAGGCGTACCTTATTTAATCTTGACCATGGTAGAGTTTTTGAAATTTGACTAGTCAGGTAAAAAGTCGCCATTTAGTCACAAAAAACAAGATTTAGTCGGTTCGCCGTTCGAAAGTTATAAGGGTGTTTTACTGTCCACGCTGGAGTAAGCTTATTCCAGCGGCACCATTCTAAATCTCGAGAACCACAGCACCTTGCTTAGATCTGATTACACTAAAAAAAGTAATGATATAAAAAACTAGATTTAGTCGTTATACCGTTTTGAAGTTATCAAAGATGTTTTACTGTACACTTTTGATTCTCGAGAACCACAGCTTCTACCTGAGATCTGATTGCATCCAGAAAAAGTTGTGAATTGGTCACAAAATTTTGTAATTAGTCGCTCCTTTGTGTAGAAATATTGGATATTCAATTAATTTAATTTATAGGTACATTTACGTAAAAAAATCGTGCACACAATGAAAAATGTGTATCGAAGGAAGGCCATCGCTCCAAGTGTTCGTTGTGAGATCACTCAATATATTTATTTATTCAGTAAAAGATATCGTATTCGTGGCGATTAAAATTATTTTGGATTGATAGTGTAAAAAATATTTAATTATAAATTATAATAAATATTTTAAATATCTGCTGAGCTTTTAAGAGTCTATTTAACCGAAACGCCAATTTGTAGTTGAATGTGTTTTGTGCTTTACATTATAATAGTCATCGTTTATTCAATTAAGTCATTCATTAATTATTCAATGAATTCTGATTAATAGTCGTTCGCTACTGTACTCCAGGCGTCTCCTTCGTTTTGTGGAAGCCAGGTGCCCATTACTACATACATACTAATAAATATCATGGTCATTCGATAAATCCTAATGCCATTATGGAAAAGTAACTAATTAGCTTGAATTAGCAAAAAAACTAATTAAAAACTAAACATTAAAACCTTCAAATACCATGTACTTATATGCTGTATATTAAGCAAAAGGACGGCAGAAAGACGACATACCTATTTTATATAGCTAGCCGGATCGTTGGGTTAGCTTAGTTAGCTCGGTTAGCTTAGTTCGCGGTGTGAACCGAAGTATGAAAAGATGCCCCGGTTACGTGAGCTAACCTAAGTTAGCTAAGCTTCGTTAGCATTCAAATAGAAATAACCGTTTTGAGATCAGTCCAATGCATTTGGGAGCTGTGATGTCACATACTAACGCACAGCCACATAGAGAAGGTTTTAAAAACTTTAACTCCTCTCTTGCGCTGGGGGTAAAAATGATGTCAATTCAAATCTTAATCGATATTACGAAAGTCGCCATATCGTAGTTTTATATCTTAAGATTTGCTTCTTCTTAAAGTGCCTCTCCACTACTGGAGGTTGGCCGTCAATATCGCAAATTTGTCCCTGTCCAAGGCCAAACGACCACCATCAATTTAGTTGTTCTGCGCTGGTGGACTCTGGTCCCACTCCCTTACGTTGCGTAACCATAACTTTTTACATCCTTCAGCGTCTCATACCTTCAACCTTTCCCATCATTATAAGTCGAAGCAGTCGGTATCTATCGTGTCGCAGCACGTGACCGAGATATGCGATTTTAAGTTTCTTGATGGTCTGCATCAGCTGGTGTGAGGTGTTAATGCGCAGGAGTTTTGTCTCGTTCTTGATTTTCTGCATCCAGCTCATACGAAGCATGTGACGGTAGCACCACATCTCGAATGCATCGAGGCGCCGTCTGGCTTCTTTGATGGTCCATGCCTTGCTGCCGTACATACATAACGAATGGCCAGATAGTCGTATCTGTTAGTCGTATCGTATCTGTAGTGGAGTATGCGGATTCTAAGTTCTATGCAAAGTTTTCGGCAGCGCAACACTCTTCATTTTCATGAAAGACGCTCGGGCGATCCAATCCAATTCGGGTTTTTATCTACTGCAGCATGGTTTTGATTGCCTCTCCCGATAGGAAACTGCGTCTCTTCCGAGTCGAGGCGCATAATTGCCATTCACAACTGGCCGATCGGAAACTTTTGATATTTCAAATCGGAAAAATAGTTGATTTAACTCACAAATTAGAAAGATATAGTAGGAATCAGGTTCATCTTCTCTCTCGGAAATCCATCTGATTTCGAGACTCGGATGGGCTACCCGATCGGATCCAATTCGATTTGAAAAAAAGATCAGCCTGCTGGTCCGAGTCCCATGCTTCATTAACCCAAGCGCCAAGATGCCTGTACTGCCGGACGCGCTCGAGATATTTAGGTACCATCCACTGATATAAATGGATCTAAATCAGGATTTTGGGAAACTACCATCAAGCTGGAAGACGTCGGTTCGAATCCGGCCGGATCGAAGGAATTTTTTCTGAGTGTTCGATCTTTGTATTAATAATTAAAACTACCATCAATTTAGGAAATGAAATTATTTTTCCGAATTTAAATCGCGTAAAGAAAACGTAAGAAAACTTAATGTAGCGTAAATTGGAACGTTTTCTTTGTAAAATTAAAAATAAGGTATTTAATTAATAACTATTGTAACTATAGTGAAAAAATAGGGTGGTTTGCATCAATATTAGACATAACTGGTTGAAGACTGTACCACCTCAGTCAACCGTGACCATGGGACCTGTAAAGGGCCCGAAACGTCGGTTTGTTTGAAAAAACAAAAATACACGATTAAAATCCGGAAAAATAGTTTCATTTCCTATGTGTAACAATCGCGAAAACCTAAGAACTCGATACCATCAATTTAGTTTTTGCGATGTTCATTGTGAGACCAGCATCTTCACTGCATGCATCTATTTACTCTATCCAAGATCTTTTGTAGGTCACTCAGTAGAAGCAATTAGAATTGTGTCATCTGCATAGCGCAAGTTATTATTATTAATAATAATAATAATACTTTATTTCGGACCAACAACAGTTATCCATAGTTTGTTAGTAAAGAGCTTAGGAATAAGGTTAGTATGATGCTATTCAAATGCTAAAATTACAATAAAATAAGATATTGTTAAAAAAATGAAAAACAAAAAAATTATACAATTAAAATTCAAAAATAAACCACGAATTACAACATTAAATATAAAATTATACAATTGAAAATTATAAAATTGAAATTAATTTTGACACACAAACTTGAAGTTTCGTCCAGTGGGCCTGGATGGGGCAGTCAATTTTATCAACCACAATTTTGTGAAAATTTTCGTAGTATGATTTTCTACGACTTTAAGTGTAATTTAACAGCTCAGAGGAGCTTCGCTCGGCTTTATACTGCTTTTGGCGATGAAGCACCATGCAAGACGACTATTTATAGCCGGTTTGCAGAATTCGAACGCGGTCGTGTGAATCACAGTGAAGAATTTCGTCATGGTCGCCCGTCCACTGCTGTGAACAACAAAAACATTGATGCTGTGCGCCGTATGATCAAATCAGACACGGATGGAACATACCATGAGATTCGGGCATCTTTAGGCATAGGCATGAGTCAAATGCAATCAATACTACACAAACATTTGGGTGTGAAAAAGCTGTGCTCTCGGTGGATCCC